AAAAAAAAAAAAAAAAAAAAAAAAAAAAAAAAAAAAAAAAAGTTTAGTCAGTCCAGTGCCACATTAGCTAATATCTGAATCATGGGAAAAGTATTTTAAAAATGACAGATTTGGTTCCATCCAGGGATCAAAGAACTGAAGAGGGCTGAGAATTCTTTTTCTTTAGAAGCTTCTCAGGGTATTGGATGACCCATCAAGCAAGATGAATTCTCTCTCTCTTTTATTTATTTTATTTTATTTATTTATTTTTTTAGACAGAACCTCACTCTGTCACCTAGCCTGGAGTGCAATGGTGCAAACATATCTCGCTGCAGCCTCCAACTCCTGGCCTTAAGATATTCTTCTTCTTCAGTCTCCCAAAGCACTGGGATTACAGGCTGGATACTCTTGAATTCAATTGTCTAGAAGTAAATTTCCATCAAACTTTACCCAAGAATAAAATCATGTCAATTTTTAATCTGAAAAGAACCAAGGAGATATTTTGAAAGGTATTTTTCCAGTGTACTCAAGTGAGCATTTTACTTGAATGAGACATTAAACCAAGTCCCTCTGCTTTGTCATAGTCTTGTTCAGGAAGGGGTTAAATGTTATATTCATTTGTTTGTAAACAAAACCCCTGGTTTGGATATCTCAGCTGGTAGAGCTGCATGCTGGTGGCAGTGCAAATAGCCAAACCTGTGTGCAGGCTAACACAGGAAGGGTAATCTTATGTTGCTTCTCCTGCATGTGTGCATACCCCTGCAAATGTGAGTCTCCAGCACATCAAATGTTCCTCTGAAATTTGATTTACTGACACTCTGTGTGTGAGTTCCTTTATGGCATGGGAAGATACATTCCCATGGACTTCTAATGGCAAGATTAAAAGTTATTTACCTTTGCAGACATGGTACGATATGGCGATCAATATCCAAGATCTGGCGCTGTTTTCTGTAGATAGATAGCGTTTCTTAAAATAATGAAAACTTAATCTAAATTTCATAAAAACACAAAATTTGATTTTTCTTCTGTTTTCTAATATATTGAGGGCTCTATCCAAAACCATTTCCATATGTGACATCTCTGACTTCAGCCCACACTGATTTCTCCCTATTTCAGGATGGGCTGATGGTGAGCTGCCAGTACACTGCATACCTCTAGGGGGTGCTGTTCACAACATAAATTTTGTATATGATACCTGCATATTTATGATATATACATGCCCACTACAGTTATCAGTAAGATGTTCTGTGGAACCGGTAATATTTTCTAATGTGCACAAAGACAGAATATGGACTAGCGGTGGGGCTGCCTTATTCTGACTTTTTATAGTACTTACACTGTGGGTAATAGGATGCTACAATACATTGTTTATTTAAAATCACTACATCTGTATGTTTCTTTCACATTGTATGCACGTGTAAGTTTCTCATAGCAGAAGCCTACATTACACATCTTGCTTTCTTGTGGCAAAAATAAAAGGTGAAGCTGTAGTATGTTAAACTGAGTCGTAGGTGCACAGAACCTTAATGACAGCAGAAGTATTTGCAGTGCTCAAGCATCTGCTTGAGAACATTTTAACCGGCACCAACCAACATGAGGAATTGTTAGGATATTTTCATTTTATTATTTTGCCTTCTGCTTACAGAACAATTTTATATTGTTTAATATTAAGGAATTTAATATTAAGGAACATATTTCTTACATTTGGGACAGTTTATAATCTGATATGTCACTTAGGGATTACTTTTAGCTCTATATAGCAGAAATCCCATTGCAGTAGTTTAATAAAATAGGAGTTCATTTTTCTTATGTCCTCTGGTCTGGGAGGCAGCAGTTAATGGCTGCCCAGCTGTTTAGGGAATGAGGCTCCTTTTCTTTTTCTGCTCTGTCATCTTGAGCATGTGGATTTTGCTCCCATGGTTGCAATATGGCAGCTGCAGCACTGGGTGTGAAACAGCAATTCATACAGTGAAATGAGAAAAAAACAAGAACGAAATGAGCTGGCCGTTTCTAAAAACGTGGTCCTGCAATTCCCTCTCAAAATCTTTTATTGAAGTTTCATTGGCCAGAACTGTGTTATATGGTCAACCCTCCCCTGAGAGATTTTTGAAAAGTGAATATTTTTGATTAGACCTATTGGAATTCTGTTGCAAAGAAAGAAAGAGAAAATGGATACTGAAGAGGCATTGTCTTCCATTCCTAATATTGTCGTTTTTAGTGTATTTTTATGATGTCATTTGGGCTTATCTTCCCAACCGCATGTCAATGGTTGGACTAGAGACCTGTTCACAGGAAATCTGCATTACTGGGAGGTGACTGAGCTGGGACAAAAAAGCGAGCCTAACCATGGAATGGTTTTGGAAGTTATAGCGTAGGTGCAGAGACTCCTTTGCAGGTCAGTTCAGAGAACTGTCAGAAAACATCACGTGTCTATCTATCACGTACCTTCAACTGCTCACTTTGTTGATGGGATGATCCAGATCTTATGGCAGTTTCCCATGTTCCACTTGCTTTTCAGCTTCAGCTAAGGAGGTGATGTGATTTGTAGCTAATGTAGCCTAGCTATTGGAAGTCGAGACAGCATGAGCCTGGCTCCCCTGCTTACGAAACATGTAAAAGCTTCTTTTAGTATACATATATATTAATCATTTTATTTTTACCTTGGCAAATAATACTTGCCTTAATTTTTAAATTTTATTTTTAACTTTCTGTTATGGAAAATTTTAAATACAAAAGGGAAGAGAAAGAATATAATAATACTCTGTGCATATTGCTCAGCATCAACAATTACGAACTGATGTCTGATTTTCTTTCTTGTTTAGCAATGTCCATTGTTTCCCAAGATTATTTTGAAGCAAGTTGTATTATTTTTAATAAATATTTCTCTAAAATACAAGACTCCGTTTTTTGTTTTGTTTTGTTTTGTTTTTTTGAGATGAAATTTCACTGTGTGGCCCTGGCTGCAGTGCAGGTGGTGCAATCTTGGCTCACTGCAACCTCCGCTTCTCTACTTCCCAGGTTCAAGCCATTCTCCTGCCGCAGTCTCCTCAGTAGCTGGGACTACAGGGGCCTGCCACCACGCCCAGCTAATTTTTGTATTTTTAGTAGAGTTGGGGTTTCACCATATTGGCTAGGTTGGTCTCAAACTCTTGACCTTGTGATCCGCCTGTCTCAGCCTCCCAAAGTGCTGGGATTACAGATGTGAGCCACGATGCCCAGCCGAGTATAAGGCTTTTTATTCAGCCTGTGTTTAGAGTTCTCTGTTGTCAAATTTTGTCCAGGTTCTTTGAATAAAGGAGAAATGTACATTGTAATTCATTGTTACATCTCTTATTTATTTTTAATCTACAATGTACTCTCCCTTTGTGTTTTCCTTGCAGTTTATTTGCTAAAAAATCCAAGTTTAATAGCATTTCTTGTATTCTGCATTTTGCTACCTGCATTTCTGTGCTGTCTGAGCAAGCTTCTTTGTTTTCTGTATCCTGCAACTTGATTGTCAGAGCTAAAAGTTTAATCAGATTTATGTTCACATTTATTGATTTTTGTTTTTAAGAAAATGGAATTATTTACAATGACAAATTCAATGATTATTTTTCCAACATAAAACATTCTTTGCAGATGACATCCTTATAACTCAATGTCAAAGAAAAATACTTTGAATTCCACTGTTGGCAACACATATAAAAGAAAGGAAAACAGTATGTTGAAGAGATATCTGCATTCTCAAGTTTATTACAGCACAATTTACAAAGTCAAGATATGGAGTCAACCTAAGTGTCCATTAATTAATGAATGTGTAAAGAAAATGTGGTACACATATACAATAGAATATTATTCAGCCATAAAAAGAACTAAAATCCTGTTATTTGCAACAACATAGGTGGAACTGGAGGACATTAAATGAAATAAGCAAACCACAAAGATACAAATATCACATGTTCTCATTCATATGTTGGAACTAAAAATCTTAGTTCCAACATATGAATAGAGAATTGAATGTTGATTACTAGAGGCTAGGAAGGGTAGTGGGAGCAGGGCATAAAGGTAGGGTGGTTGATGGGTACAAAGATACAGTTAGAGAGGATGAATAAGATCTAATATTTGGTAGCATAATAGGGTGACAATAGTTAAAAATAATTTATTGTATATTTTAAAATAACTAAAAGAGTGGAGTTCCAATGTTCCTAATACAAAGAAATGATAAATGTGTAAGGTAATGAACACCCCCGATTACCCTGATTTGATCATTACACATTGCATGCCTGTATCAAAACATTATATGTGTCCCATAAATATACATGACCATTATGTACCAAAAATTATAAAATGTTGCGAAACTCAAGAAAATACTTGAAGGAAAGGGCAGACATCCTAATTCTCAAGCAGTTTGAAACTTCAAGTTTGTACAGTTTAGCTTGGCTGCTGGGTTTAATTTTACCTGTCATACTCAGCAGATATTTTCTAAACAAAACAAACATTAATGTAATAAGATATTATTTTCCCATCTCTCGATTTGATTTAGGAATTCTTGACCCATTATGGCCACTAATACCAAGACCTTCTAATTTTGCTTTTATCATTTCATTATAGCTATCTATATTTTTTTCTATTAACGAATTTAGCATATACTTAGATATAATTAATTCAGACTGAATTGAAAGAAGGTTACTCTCAATACATTAAAAATCCTGGCTGCAGCCGCCCTTCGCACCCTCTTCGCCCTCCCCACCGACATCATGCTCCAGTTTCTGCTTGGGTTGACATTGGGCAATGTGGTTGGAATGTATCTGGCTCAGAACTATGACATACCAAAGCTGGCTAAAAAACTTGAAGAAATTAAAAAGGACTTGGATGCCAAGAAGAAACCCCCTAGTTCATGAGGCTGCCTCCAGCACTGCCTTCGGGATACACTGATGCTACTGCTCTTGAGGGCCTCCTTTACCACCTGAACCAAAAGCCTTTTTTTCATCTTCAGCCTCAGTGCTCCTCTTCTTTGCTAGACCCTGTGTTTTTTGCAAGCAAAATGGGGCCTCAATTTGAGAACTACCCTACATTTCCAACATACTCACCTCTTCCCGTATTCCCTTTCCAACTGCATGGGAGGTCCTAAGACTGGAATTATGGTGCTAGATTAGTAAACATGACATTTAATGAATAGTGTCTTCTTTATTGTTTGCGATTTTTACTACCTTTTGTCAAGAGAAAAACTGATGAGTTTTGTGTAGCTGGTCAGATACAAATAATAGTGACTTCACAGTTTAGCAGTTATAATGGGTACTTGCTAAACATTTGATACTAAATTATGTTGCTGCAAAGTAATTAAAATTAATATCTTAGAGCTAGTTTCTGGTGAATTATTCATTTATTTTGTACTGTTAGGCAGCTCCATAGTTGCTAATTTAACCAATAAATCAATTTGCTATTCATTAACTAAGAAACAATTCTGAGAATCCTGTCAGAAATTGGGGAATGAAAAAATCCGCAAAATAATGGTCTTTGTCCCAGTAGAGTTCAGTCTATTTAGTGTGCATGTTTTTCCTTAACGATGTGTTTGATCTGACTTTTTTCCTTCTCAAAGGATCATACTTGGGATTACAGGTATATTTGATATTATATGATGGATAAGTGAAAAGTTATTAAAGTAGATTTTATACCTTTTCACATTAAAAAAGGTATTTATATTTAAAAAATCCTGCATTAGGTATTATTGATGCATCATTTAATTTTATATAAACAAATTTTACAAATATTTCTCTGTATTAAGCATAAATAAGGGTTTTTCTCACTTGCTTAAATCAGAATCATTTGTAAGAATCCAACTATATGCAAAGTTGGCTTTAAATTGGCTTTAAAACTTTCCTTTTGGGTACTCAGTTCTTTTCATTACTGACCTATTTTTTCCCCACACAGTGAAAAGGTCAGGTTGATCATGATTTAGGTCTAAATTACCATAAATTATCAATTTATGAGTTCTCAACTCATCCAACTTACTTATGCTTAGATATCTTAAAATGACACATACTTGCAATTTTTTCCAGTTACAATTTGGGTCACTTTATGTAATAGTCTGCAAACTTTTTTTTTTTTTTAAATAGAATATTTTAAAGCTTTATATTATTTAAGGTAGATATTTGGTAAAAGTCCTCCATATAAAAAAATTAATTAAGGTAGAGCAGCTGCACTTTGAAGTAGTGGATAGAAGCCTGGAGTCTGTCCCTATAGACTCCTTTTGCCCCTTTGTAACTACCCTCATCACCTCACATGATATCTAAATTTTACTGGAGATCATTTGAAAATAATGCCTCAACATGTCCCTGAGCTCCATATTTCTCCATTATTTAGGGAGGGATGCTGTGGTGAATATAAGAAGGAATAAATAGTATAGTTGGTGATGTTGGTGATCGGGTTGGCCAATGAGACAGCAAAGTGTTTAAGGTTTTCTGGTTTTATATCAGTGCTGCTCTTCCTTCTAAATGTTTTCCTCACAGGAATAAGGGAACCTAATAGTGATACCTGGTTTTTAAATTCAGCTCTAGAGTTAATTATGAAATGTAAATTTGAGCTTGTAAATCTTCTGAGATATTTTATGTAAATTTCAAAATTAGTTGTGATTCAGAAATTCTTGTCTAATGAAATGTTTTGAATGCTCTTTAATGAATTCCTCCTGTAATACTCTAGAGAAAAACTCTATAACCTATTTGTCACTGTGCATTGTGGGTTTAAACGCCCGTCAGTAGTCTTTTGGTCATCAGGCCCAAATTAAATTAAGAACCTTTCTAATTAAGACAGAAATGCAGAGTACTTCATGTAGTCAATGAATTATAAATGAAAAAGGATAATTAAGTTTGGAGTTCATCATCTAAAAGTGAATTGGTAAACTTGGATTCCTCACAACTTGAATTTAATGTATTTTGAATTTAATGTATTTTGGATGTAGGCCTTCTTTATTTTCACAGCTACTCACCTTCCTTTTATTTCATATTTCTCACTTGTCTATGAGTTCCTCTTCTCTAATTTATCCAGAATAGCAATTTCTAATAAACTTTACCTTTAGGTCACAGGATTCCTACATAGGATTCTTTTTAGCTCCCTGTAGACAACCATATCAAATTTAAACTCTTAGTCCAACATTCTAGTCTATGTCAATTGTCCCTACATGCATATCTTCACTTCCCTTATCATGGACCTACCCTTCCATGTAGGCTGATATTCTTAGTGTTCCAGAGGTGAAAGTCAAAATGTCCAGCAATTGTGGTAGCATGGCAATTGTTAGTACTAGAACAGACACTAGTCATAGGGTTAGATCATTCCTAGAGGTTCCAAGAAGCTGGGGTGGCCCAAGCATCAGGGCAATGGCTGGATATACCAAACAGACCAGAAGTCTTTCAGTATTTTATCCACTGGTGCAGTGGGTACCAATATTAGCCAGTTCAAGGATTGTCTTAGTTTAAAAGAAGTATATCTTCCTGGGATGACCCATATACAATGACGGATGGATGTGGGGGTTTAAATGTTTAGCCTTTTGGGCATTTTAGTTCCAGACACCCCATGGGGTTGGCTAAAGTTGTCATTTGTTGCTGAATCACAGTTGGTTTTTCTTTCTGCCAATCCTGCCTCATTCCATTTTATTGCATAAGGGTGGTATCAAGGCTCCCCACAGTCAATGACCTGCCTGCTAACTGCCATCTCACACTCTGCAACTTGGGGAACACTGCCTGAGATAACTAGTGTGGCAAAACCATGTCTACATATTATTTGGGTTGAATAGGATCTTGTGCATACTTTTAAAAGTAAAGAGTAGTATAAAAAATAGGTGCTCAATGACTACTCGTTGAGGGTAAATTTCCTTCTCTTAAAATAAATCATCTTTATGAAAAAGCAGCTTTTTTGTTGCTCGGTGACAACTAAATTGTCTCCCTACTTGTCTTTCTAACTTTGTGCTTATAGCAGAAGACAATTTAATATTAAAGACCCTAGTAACATACTTTGATGTAGTTATTCATGGCTATAGACAGCGGCTGTTGCAGTGTAAGCAAACACTTTATTCTGGAGAAGTCCCAGTTGAAAATTTTGGGAGAACTAACAATTCTGGCATCTTAGCTTACTCACATTAAATTTTGTACATTCCGTCATTGGGTAAATGCATGTATTCTGGAAGCCATGCTCATTGGCATTATCAAGGTTTTTTTTTTTCTAATGTAAAAAAAATGAAGTACAATCTGGCTGAATTTTAAAGAAGTGGGAAGATATTATTTATGCAGGGTTCTTATCTGGAGGATTTGGCTTTTATGGGATATGATTTAAAAGGATTCTGAGCAATTAGGTTATAGCAGAGAGTAACCAGCTTCGGGGAGTCGTGGGAAGGAGTGCAAGGGGGAAAGAAATGAGTTGAAAACAGAAGTCACTTGGTTATAAATTTGCCGAGGACCAGCCTAGGGTGTGGGTATACAGTGAGAGTCTTAGTAAATCATTAAAAGAAATATGAATATGTGATCTGACCTGGAAGGATAGGTGCCATTGGGGCCAGGTTCATGAACATGTTGACTCAAAAGAGTTCCGCACTCAGAAGGGCTCCATGTTCAGAAGAGTTCTATGCTGGGTTTAATGTTCTTCTGTCACCATCTTGAAATTATTAATAACTTTTTTACAAGCAGATCCATATTTTCCTTCTGTACTGCCCCCTACCCACCGGCTGCATTGTGTACATGGTGTTAAGTGTTACAGTATAGCATCAGCTCTGCTCTGTGGGAATGGGTGAGACTGTCTCTGATGCACAAAGGCCCTCAGAGCCACAGTCATCCCTGGCATACATTCAAATGTCTACTGGTATAGCAATTAAATGCCTATTCAAAGACCGGGACTGTCTCCTGCCAACAGGCTATTTGTTATAAATTTAATCCATATTTTTCATCAGAAAAATGAGATGGAAAGCTGCAGAAAGCCTAGCTTTTCTTCACTTTAGGGTGCCAAGGAAAACAAGTAAAGCTTTAATCTGTGTTGTCAAAACACAGGAGTCTATCTCTGCTTCTCTTTAAGCAGAGAACATCAACTTTTTTTCAAGAGATGGCCAAATGCCATTTTTTTTTTTTATAATCAAAAGCAAAATATGTTAAGCTTACACTATTTCTACTCTTTCTCACATTCTGAAAACAGTCCTCTGCCTCCTCTCTGCTGCATTGGGTTATGGGGACATTGTGCTGACAGGGCCACTTCTGGCTCTCTGGACGCCTGGTCCTGCCCTGGTTGCTCAGGGAGAACTGTACCCACAGTGTGAGTTTATAACCACTCACTTCTCTTCAGCACTTCAAGTGTTGTTTTCGAACTATCTAATAAATGCTTCTTGAATTGAACTGGAACACGTTCATAAACACTTTAAGAGTCTGAACTTTCAGGAGAAACTCATCTAAGTTCTGTTCAAATTACAGCCAAGGTCTATAAAGCAGCAAAATTTTTGGGCTCCAAAATCATTTATGATTTGTTATCAGCCTATGAAATACCATTGTGATGATTTAAAGCCCATCTATCTTCTATTCCTTTGGGTCTTTGAACTTTTAACAAATGCCTGGAGTTTAATGTTCAATGATTTCATACTTTAGTATTAAAAGGCTACATTTTACTTTTAGGCCCAATGGGGAGGGAGAGATCCTACTTTCTGTAATTGCCCCAGCATCTTCATATGGATATATATTTTTTTCCTGATGAAGCAATTGGAGAAAATGAGCCCCTCCCATTTGCTGAGGTGGCTTCTTCTTAGAGGATGTTGGTTATGTGATAATCAAGGTAAGGCAAGAGAGGCTGCTCTCATTATTTCTTCAAAGAACACAATTGATGCCTGTCATTTATAGGCACTTAGAAATAAAGAAAAGTAGAAAAAATTATTTATTGATAGTTTGATTTTCTGGTTATCTAAACATTGGTGATCTTTGGGTATTTTTATTTCCAGTCCTTTTTTTCCTCTTGCATAGCTTATAATTTGTATAGATACTTTTGGTTATGGTCTCCATAAATGAACTCTGTGCCCTATTTTTTTCATTTGTCAATGAAGCATAAATGTTTTCATATTATAAATTATTTATAAATGTGTTTTTATATAATTAATCAAATTCATTAAGTTGATTTTCCAAGGTTATTATCTCTATTGTTGGACACTTTACTTATTCTAGAATTTTGCCATTATAAATAATTGTTCACTAATATACTTTTTAATAAAGTATTTTTTGCCTTCTCCATGCACATTTCAAGTAACTACCTGAAAATAGATTCCCTCAAATGATAATTATTGCGACAAAGAATGCTGGCATTTTGATTAGCTGATATCTTTCTATTTATTTATTTA